ACCATTACACATCACTAACTGTGTCTCTCCTGTAGTGTGTCCTCTCTCTCCCTGTACTATTCTGCAGGTTGCCCTGGCTCCGGAGCTCTATGTTTCTGATGAGCAGTTAATGCATCAACCTGACCAGTGTTTGATTGTTGTGTCTTTGTGCTTTTTTTTTCTTTTTTCTCTCCTCTATCCACTCACCCCAACCGGTCGAGACAGAAGGCCGCCCACCAAGAGCCGGGGTCTGTCAGAAGTTTCTTCCGTTAAAGGGAGTTTTTCCTCCCCGCTGTCGCCAAGTGCTGCTCAAGGGGGATTTGTTTGGTTTTCCTCTATAATAATAGTGATAACAATAAGGTTTATACCTTACTTTGTAAAATGTCCTGAGATTACTTTTGCTGTGATTTGGTGTCATACAAATAAAATTTGATTGATATGTGTATTACTTCCCTTTTTCTGTGACTCAGCATTATCAATTTTTTTATTTAGATTCTAAATGTAAAATCACTTTTACCTAATACAGTCATTTCTTATATTGTAAACATTCTTGCTCTTCTTGTGGGACTTCTAACTGCAAAGAGACAATTTGTTCGATGGTCTCCTGCAGCTCCTTTTGTAAGGTTATTTCTGATGCCAGATCATCAGAGGCCAGTTCTGTTATGGCCTGTGTTTCTTGGGCTGTTCATTGGTTCTCTCCGGGACCCATATTTACAGCTTTGCTGACACATTGATGCATCTATGCCTCTGGGTGTCTCTGCATGGCCTCTGCGTTTGGTGATGCTCTGTATGCCCTGCCATACCTGCCATGGGTTGTTTTCTGAGAGGTGGTTCTCCATCTTCCTTTTATAGTTCACCTTAGCCTCCCTTATTCCTCTCTTCATGTGAGACTGTGCTGCACTGTACAGAGCTCTATCACCTGATCTGAATGCTTAGTCACAGGCCCTGAGGAGCGTGCGGACATGGCCAGTAATCCAGAGTTTCTCATTAGGGAAGATGCATAGATTTGGTAACAGTAACACTCTCAATGCAGAACTTGATGTAGGATAGAACAGAGTGTTTATGTTGACAGGTCCTCATGCTCAGAAACATTCCACTCAGTGTGTTCAAAACAGTCCTGTAGCTGGGAGAGTGTGGACATGGGCCAAGATGTAATAGCCTTCATAGCTAGTGGTAGTCTCCATCTGTAGGGGGTGAGAGATGGTCTGACTGGCCTAGGTGGGGAGGGGAACAGTTCTCTATGTGTTCTTGATGTTGGAATAGACACGGTCCAGCGTGTTTCTCCCTCTAGTCGGGCATTTCACGTGCTGGTAAAAGGCTGGAAGTATTGATTTCCGTCAGGATGACTACACTGCTGCTTGTTTATGGCGTTTAGTAGGGGTTCAAGAGCTTTACTAACACTGGCTTCAGGTGGTATATAGACAGCGGTCACAATAGCTACTGTTAGCTCTCTCGGTAAGAAGAAGAGGCAGCATTTAACTGACATAAACTCCACATTGGGAGTACTTAGCTGTCCATTGTGATGCTGTTATTGGACCACTCATTATGCACGTAAATACAGAACCCTCCGCCTCTGCTTTTACTTGAAACCCAGTTTCTGTCACAGCGATGAAGTGTGCAGTCTGCTAGTTGCAATGGTAACCTTGGGATTTTGCTGATGAAGCCAGCTCTCTGTTATCAGAATCAGATTTATAATCAGAACACTGCAGTTCTTGACATACCAATTCCCAACAAATAGTAGTTCCAGTTCATCCATTTTGTTGGCCAAAGATCTGGCATTGTAAGGAATATGCTGGGAAGAGGCAGCCTGTGAGGCTGTTTTCCGAGTTTAGTCAGAAGTCCAGTCCTACAGCCTCACTTCTGCTTCCTTTCCCTTTGCTGTCTGCACTGTCTGCAAGGCCTAATAACAATCCTCTGAGAGCCCCAAGGCCTCACTATCTCGTCTGGTATATCGTGTCTGTGGCGAAAGTTATCTGAGATCGGCAACTTGCGTTGTAACCCAATGTTCAGCAGTTCGTGTCTACTGTAATGTTGTTTCACAGAAGCATGTTTATATATGGCACACAAAAGACACTAAAATGCACAAAAAGGGATAGCCCAGAGCCGCTGCAGAGCCACCATCTTTCAGGTCTGAAATCAGTACATTATGCTGCATGTTTTTCTCCAGACTGCCACTAGGGGCACTAATGCTGCAATGGATATCCTAGGGGGTCACAGCTAGTTGTACTACTGTTTTATCTGTTGAGCAGCTAATCACAGTAAGTTGTGATCGTTGAATCTTAGCTAGCTTAGTGTGGTTACAGGCCATCCACCACAACCTTTGGTAAGTCCAAGTAACAAAATTAGAGAGTAGGCTTTAACAACAGGTTGCTATGGGTCCATTAGTTTGAGAGCAGATGTGTTCAGTGTAAGGAAATCTATATGGGGGCTGTTTAGCCCAGAATTGTAGGGAAGATGCTGCCTTTCCATGCAAGCTTCAGTGGTGGGTTACTAGCCACCAAGGCGGGAGTCAGTTGTATAGGTCAGAGAATCAGGAGTCTTCCACTTTACTGTTAAATAGTGAGAAATCATGTAAGGTTTTGTCTTTTTCCCTTCAACCCTTAATATCTTCTCATGTACAACTAGTTAGTTATTTTTTAATGTAGTACAGGGATTTTGGTAGGGAAGGAAAGTTTGAAAAGTTTATCAGCCCGGCAAGCAGTAACAATTGGCCAGAGGATCATCAACAGTGGCAACTTCTTTCTCAGGCTGACAACACATCCGCCTTCAGGGGGTGGGAAAGTGTTGAGGAGGACGGCAGTGTGGATAATACAGGGGTGAGGACTACTTGTCCATCCACCATTTTGTATCCTATTGCATCACTGTCTGGTATGCCAGCACTACTGCTATGGACCACAAGCACCTGCAGAGAGTGGTAAAGACTGTGGAGAAGATCACCAGGGCCCGGTTTTTCAAAAGGTTTAATCCGGATAAAATTGATCCGGATTCAGTAATCCTTTTTTTTCGATCCGTGATCACGTAATCCAGCTTACTTCTTGAGCCAGTTTTTCAAAGCAACATCGGATTGGATCAATCTGATCTGGATAGGAACTTTTCAGGATCACCAAATCTGGATAACCAGTGCTCAAACAGGATGGATTACTTCATATAATTGCACCTGTGTTGTTTACATGCTGAGTTGCAGATGCATAACTGCACATACATAATTGCACACCCACTGCAGACTATTGCACATACAGCTTTAATGTAGCATAAATTATCTCTTACTGTGTTCTCATTACTGCTGACTATTGTAGCTACTGCTCCGATGCAGAATACGTTATCTCTTGTGTTCTCATATTTTTTTTATATACTTTTTAAATTATATTTCATTTCACTTGCTGGTTGAAGCGCCTTTAGATATTTATGCCATTTATCAACTTTATATTTCACTTGTGTTGTTTGGCATTCAGTGTGGACAGCAAAGGAAGAATCTCATTGTGCAGGGACATGCATTTCCATACTGTAAATACTTTGACCATGACCCTCTGTGACAGAGCTCCATTCTGTGGTTATATGTATGTATCTCCGCAGGAAAGTTCATGTTACTATTTTGAAGTGGAGAGAATTTATTATTTGAAGGATGACATATCATTATGCTTTTTCCCCAACTTTTATTTGTAAGGGACCATGTACAATATTAAACATGCCATTTGATCTATTGTACCAGAGTTGGCTTAAAGCTAATTTTCATCTGCAGTCCCTTGGTAGTCGTAATGAAAACATAATCACGGTAACAAAACAATACCAAACAAAACTACAATACAAAACAAACGAAACAACGCACAATATATCAACATAGTCAGAAACAAAACCGTTACAGACAAGACAACCAAAAACCAACTGACCAACCAACCAGAAAAGTAGTTACATGACTGAATATCCTTTAGCAGGTTTTTTCAGTTTAGCCTGAAAACTACCAAAGGAGTAGCAACTCTTTGTCACCTGGTAGAGCACACTAACATGTAGCTTTCACAGAAAATGCAGACTGCCCCTACTGTATGTGGTACAGTGAAAAGGTACAATACAGTTCCACAGAGAAGATATTCTTAGTGATTTTATAGAATATGTTGAACGGCAATAAACTCACATAATGGAAGAGGAGATAAACGATTTAAAATTTTATACACAAGACACAAATTTAAATATAATCTAAAGTTCTCAAAACCAAGGAGTTGATGTTTTCCAGTATCCTACAATGAAGAAGCTGCATTGGCTGTTTATCCAAAATTTTTAAATTGTTTATACAAAGACTATACAAAGAAAGGTTGAATGACAGTCTATCCTGCTTGATTCAAGCATGTAATACAGTAAGACATATGGGAAAAGATCATACCATGCATAAATATCTTTAGCTGCATCCATAGACAACTTCTAATTTGTCTAAAATTTGCTAAGTTGTATTTAATGTTTTTTTAAACATGTTTTCTAAAATTAAGCTTTGGATCCAGTATAATGTTGAGATATTTGTATTTAGTAACTATTTAAATCTTTTCACTGCTGATGAAAATATTTACATTAGGAAGCTGTTTATTAATTAAAAAAACACATCTTTTGTTTTATTAATATTTAGACTAAGACGTGATTGTTCAGGCCATTGTGTGATCCTTTCCATGGCAGCTGTTAACTTTTCAGCTGCTGCTTCTCTCCCCTCCTCTCACTCTCAGAGCTTAACAACAGCAGGACCTCTGGTTGGTTGTCAAGGAAACCTCTGGGTAATTGCTCTCTATGTGATGGCACATGAGGAGGTGATCTCTCCAGGGGGCAGTGGTGTTCTCCCACCTCCACCACGATGGTTGTCACATACTGCCCTTTAACAACTGCTATAAAAGTGTTGATGGAGAGTCAGGCTGAAAGTGGCGTTTTAACACCAGTATTCAGATAATTTGAACACTACTTCTCTGGTTTATATTTATGTTTTCCATATTTGGTGCTGTTAAGATACAGTTACGGTATCTTTGTCCTTTATATTCTGTTGACAGGTCAGTGCTTTGTGGTGTTTAATGCCTCCAGCTTCTGAGTGACCAAACACACCTGATCCAGGTAATCAGCAGTGGGTAGGGCAGTGGCCCTCAAGGACCAGGATTACCCACCCTGATGTGTGGAAATGTCTTTTTTTTTCAGCAAGTAACTGACAAGTAGTATTTCTCTGCTAAAGGACAAACACTGTATCAGTGTCAGCTAATTTTCTGATTCCCATGATATAAAATTTCACTGTACATGATGTCAAATATGTGGCACTGATGCCACTTAATTTTTTTAAAAGCCGTTTTTTTTGTTGTTTTTTTTTTCTTTTCACTTTGTCACCATCACACCAGGAGGTCCATCTGTGTTATTGTTCAAGAAGACTGTTTATTTGTGTATGAATTAAACAAGATACATCATGGTTGTTGTTGAGCTTTAGAGATTTTGAAACAGCTAAGTTAGCTATTTGCCCCCCCCCTTTCAGTCTTTATGCTGATCTAGGGTAACCATGACTCCATCTCTGTATTTAAGGAAAGAAAGTAAATAAGCATATTTCCTAAAATGTTAAACTTGTTTTCAGCAGGGTGGGTTTATTTTCCAACCAAGCAAAACTACAACCACACAGAAATGTAAAAGTACAACAAAGAAACACTAAGTGACCGCAAAGCCTGCATTATTTGTGGTATTCTAGTTTGGATGTTTTGTTCCTGTGATGAAGGAGTTTGTGTCTTTTCCATGCTTATGAAACAATGTGTGCCTCAGCACAAACAGGTCTGTGTTTATTGCCAATTGCAATTTTCTTTTGTGGATATAAAACATATGCAATTATTTTAGAATTACACGGATATATAATTGATATGTTGGCAGATATTGGCTTATTACAGATACTGTCCATCCGTATTAGCCAACAAATTACAAGAACTGTCAGCAGCAAAATTATGTCTGAAGTTATTTAGAAACAAGTGTCTGAACTGAACATGTAGATTGCCCATCAAAGAGCAGTGACAAGTTTGTTTAGTCAACTAAAAATTGTTACAATTTAAGTGGTGCTAAATTGAAATATCAGATTTTGGTATTTCCCCCTGTTGAGCTAAAGTGCTGAGTCAACTTTATGGTCATTTTGGAAGGTGTATTGACCAGTGCTTGTTAGGAATTGAAAAGAGCTGTAATGAGCAGCTGTTTAGCAAATTGCAGAAAGAGGGGAAAAGGACAACAAAACCCATTATGACAAGCCACATAAAGGTGAGATTTGTACTTTATTAGAAGTCTTTTCAAACATCATGATCTACTTTTACAAGACTGTTGTGATGATGTGGCTGGTTTTGAATAGCCTGTTATGTTAGTCTTGGTTGTTTACCCATCTCCGTTAAAGTGCAATGCATAGCCATTTACTGACTGTTTCTGCAACATGCATCATCTGAACCAGACTAGGAAGCTAACAAAAATGGGGGGGGAAACATGTCAGTGAAGAATATAAATAAAAGGAATAATTCGCAGTACAAGCTGGCACATATGAAACGCACAGTAACAGCACGTGCTGTGGTTAAGTGATAGGGGAAGGTTAGACTTGGTAAACTAGGCAATAACCATGTCCAGAAAAAAACTGCCTATAAGAGCACTGTTTGAACAAAGACAAGTGTGCTGCCTGTCTCGTTATTCTGACAAATTCATATGGCAGCCCGATATTATATTGTGTCAATTTAAATAGGTCACAATTTAACTATTGCATAATATGCAGCTGGCTTATATTGATTTTTAAATGCTCAGAAATATGTACCTGTCACTCTTTTCCATTTAAATACTGATGTCAGTGTGGTCGAAATTCATGCCAGTTGATTTACATGGTGCTGTCAGTATTTAACATACATTTCTACTACTGGGCTGCCAGTCAATTATTACAACAAAAGCAATTGATGAGAGCCCATTCTCATTTTATATAAATGGGATAGGACAATTCCATGTTTATTTGACCCATTTACAGTCAAACTGTCAGTTTTTTGCACTTCCTTTGCAGATATTTAGTATTCACTTTAACATTCCCAATTTGTTAATGACTGATGTGCAGTCAGTGCAGAAATGTCACTAAAGTCGTCACTTAGCTAGGAGTGATTAAACAGTGGTGGGTTGAGCAGCTCTACAATAATCACACAACAAACTGTCAGCAACATACAGTAGATCTTCTTGTGCACTCATCTGTCTGATGCATCTGCGTTACTTTGCTCATCATCACACGCAGCTGTGTAGTAGTTACATGTGACGTGTAGTCCATAGTCTGTTAGCTACTTTTGTGCAGTTAGCATCAGTCAACAAGTCTGTCTTTTTATTTTGTCACTCCTTTTCTACACCTCTGGTTTTCCATCTCTACAAGTTTTATTTGCTGCCACATATACTTTGCAGGTGTGAAGGAAACGGCTCTCACATCTGTTAAGGCTGCACCAGCAGTGTAAGCCGTTATGTAAGCCGTATAGTGTCTGTGTCGAGAGACCCAGTAGGAAAAATTCTTGAATTATGACGGTTAATCAGGCCTGGTGAGATCAGGTTGAGGAGAGGAAGAGAGGGAGACTCACATAAACTATCTGACCTGAACAGATCTGTGTAGTTCTCTTCTTCTATTTTGATTTGGAAAATGAATTTGCATATCATAGCACTTTACCAACTGGTGACCAAATCAAAACAGGTCTGGAGAAAGGCTGCACTAGATTGTTAAAAGTGTTAAGTGCCAGTTGAGTTTGTTTGGGTTAAATAACTAAAGTTGTGACGCTCTTATCTATGAAAATCACTCGACTTTTTAGAAAATTAATAGACTTTATTGACACTTTAGACAAAATGAATAAATAATAGAATAAACTCAGCTGGTCTAGAAAGGCCAAGTTGCCAAACAAGTCTCCCGGTCAGTTCGTACGTGGTTGCTTCACAGAAGAATCAGGAGCGGCAACACAGGTAGCAGTTGCGCTTCACAGTTGGAGTTCAACTGGAAACTGTATTGTAGTTTCAGAGTTGTAGTATGTTCTCATATAGTTTATCAAGTTAATGATGTTCAAACAGCAAATGCAGATATAGTCAGTTGTTGTTTCACCAAAGACAAACATGGTTCTCAGTTCCGGTTGTTCAGTGTAAATGTGAAGTTTCTCTACAGGAGAGGGTTCCCAACAGAATGCACATTACAGTGTCAGAATGATGCTGTGGAAACCACCAGAGTTTGCAACGTTGGCGTTTCGACTCTGGCCACTAACAGCTCTGTTGCAAGTCCCTCTCTCCCTCTGTTCCCCCATTTCCTGTCCACCTCTATACAACTCACTAATTAATAAAGGCATGAAAACCTGGAAATAAACTTTTAAAAAAAGGCAACAAATAGTTGAGTGGCTCTACAATAACCAGAGTACCATTTTACCAAAAAACAGACCACATCATGTCACGTGTGTAGCTAAGTGGAACTGTAGATAGATGGAACTATCTTCAGTCTCTTGGTCAAACACAGAACAGACATTTATTTTTAGGCTATGATTGTTGCTAATTGTTACTTAAAATGGGAAAATGACATCTGTCCTCAGAGACAATCCAAAACAAACAGTTTTATCAATTAATTAACCAGCTATTTCAGAGAAATAAAAATAACAAAACAAAATATATTGCAAACATATAGGCCAGTGTGCCCACTACACCTGTAAAGTTGTGGTGGTTCCCAACAGTGTGTAAAAGTGGCCCATGGCTGAATCTAATTGTATATATGAAGGAAGACGAGTTCATTTTGAGGTACTTTGGAAAATATTGCCTTCATTTGCTCCAGGGCCTAGTTAATCACAGTTTTTTTTATACTAACATTTATGGCATCATAAAGTGTTGGCTCATATTGGATGTGTAAGTGAAAAAAATGGGTTAAACACCAGATTTATTTATTAGTTTATGTATTTATTTGTCTATGTAGGACAATCTCCATCAGGGCTTCAGTCCAAACTCCGGTATAATCTCCACAGGGGATAGATTCCACCCAAAATATGAAAAAGTGACTCCCCCCCCACTACCAGTCATTAAATGAGTTGCTCTCTGCTCCAGCTTTAAACCAACTCCGCAATGTACTGATTGTTTACTGAGCTCCCGCTTCATCTTGGTTTACATATCAACCAGCAACATTGAATACATCAGCGGTGCACGGGGCTGTGACTGGTCAGCATGTGCCACGGTTTGGCCATCCTGTGCCCTGTTTGTGTCATATAGACCTACAGCTGATCACTCACATATACTGCACACAGGTAGAACAGTCAGTTTAAATCCCAGCATCATTGAAGTTAAATGTAAAATCTGTTTCTGCTGCTGAGCCTCACATCTGGTGTTTGTCTCCATGGCTCCTCCTGGAGATCACACTCTAGTTTGTCAGTGTGGATGATCTGAGTTTTGTTCTGTCACTTGTCTTTTGTAAACAGATTTTGTAGTCCCTGCTGAAGTGTCACTGTGAACCATGCACATCATCATATATGTGGTTAAACGAAACACATAAACACTTGCGGGTGTCAGTTGCACATAGGAGCGTGCATTGTTTTAGGTGATGTTGTGAATCAATCATGCATTCCATTTTACAGGATATACACTTTACTGATGATTGGATCTTCAAGTGCTCTTAATGAAATGCTATGAATTTCAACCAGATTATGCCAGTAGGCCTACTCTTTTTCCTCTCTTGGAGGGGAAAAAAAAAAGTGGTGGAGCGTCATTCCGGCAGCACTACACCTGTATGTAAACAGATATTTATAATGATTTTTCTCTCATTTTTGTTCCTTTCTATGTACTCCCACTTTCTCCCCTTTTGTCATTTTCAGTCTCTTCACAACAGTCTTTGTCCTGACCTCATATGGACACCTGCTACCAATGGACTCCTAAAACCTTCTCTGACAGTTAAAACAACCAGAACCAGACAACTATGAATCCCCAGGAGACGGAGCTTGGCCAAGAGGTGATGAAGGAGACCGATGCTCCTCCTCGCCATCGTCACAGCAACCACAACAGCCGGTCTCGTAACTACAGCAACCAAGAAAAGCGCTACAGACGCTGTGAGGCCCTGGCGGGAGGAGGTGCTGGTGGCAGAGCCAGGGTATCACAGCAGCGTAGGCCACCGGATGAGCAGGACATCGAGCTACAACAGGGAGCTCAGTCTCCCCAGCCCCAACAGCCACAGCCCATTCCTCGACCTGCAGTGACACGTTATCGCAGACAGGGGGACAGCGAGGCTTGGATCAGAGCTCAGCAACAGAGGCACAGACAGAGGCAGCAAAGAGAGGCAGAGAGAGCACAACACTTAGCACAACAACAGGAGAACCAGCACCACATTGAGATGAGCCAGGAAGATGAACGAGAGAGGGATGATTCAGTGCTGGCCCGCTCAGCAAGCACTGAGAGTGGTTTTCACACCCATACTGACCGGGCTGAGGGTGATGATGGCCTGGTGATGATGTCTCTTGAACCTGAGGGACAGCCAGAGACGGAGGATGAGGCAGGGACCTATAGACTCCAGCTACGGTCCGAGGCAGAGGGGTACACTGAGAGTGCTGAGGCTGAACAGCAGCATCTTCATCCACATCCTAACTTTCTTCCTCAGCCTTCGCCCATGCCACACAAACCCCTGTCTGATATCGAACACTCCCAGAGACAGGATGAAACAAAGGAAATGCTGAACACTGGCTACTCCAACCCCCCCCCCTTAGCCACTCTGTGGAAAGGAGCACTGTCTTGGCTGGTGAGAGCTTAGAGATTTTGGATACTGGAATTGCAGATGAGGCCTATTCTGAGCCTTATGATGTTTACTCACTCACTGAGCATGTTTATGAGGAAATCTGTGATGTTCCTGCATCAGATTCATCTGCCACAGATGGAAATGGGGGCACAGAGTCTCTCCAACAGAGGAGGACCAGCTTTCGATTGCTGGACAGCCAGGCAGGAGGTGGAGACTATCACCAGCAGCAGGAGGCAGTGGGTTCCCGTCTGCGCCACTATGATGAACGCTCAGATGGTGAGTCAGACAGCCCAGAGAAGGAGGCTGAGTTTGCTCCTTACCCACGTGCTGACAGCTGTGACCAGGAGGAGGACATTGACAGCATTGTGGCTGAGGTCAAAGAAAGCATAAGCTTGCAGAGTCTTCACCATGCTGCAGAAGACATAGATGAAGAAAATGAGCTACCACAGGAGGATGAAAAGCCCCAGCTTGAGTCTCAGACTGACTCTGACAGTCAACACAAAGTTGCTAACCAAGGGAAGTCCAGAAAACAGGCTGTGAGTCCTTCAGATGAGCCTGTAATGAGGAACAGTCAGGAGAAGAGGGATGCCATATCTCTGGCCATCAAGGACATTAAGGACGCCATAGAGGAAGTGAAGACCAGAACGGTGAGATCTCCTTACACACCCGATGAGCCCAAGGAGCCCATTTGGGTAATGAGGCAGGATCTGAGCCCCACTGCAGAGTGTGACTTTCAGCAATCACTGGGGGGTGATGTAAGTACAGCAGTTTATTATTGATCAAGTTGTACTGGATGATTTGGCTATTGTGTGAATCAGTTGTTGTTTGCATATGAATGTGTTCGCGTACTTTAATCATTTTAGAATTATGTGATCCAAATTACAAAAGTGTCCCCTGCCCCGATCCCCCCCCACACACACCACCTGTACTGGTATCATAGTGGTAAAGCACCATTGATCCTATATACTGCACTATGTAAAGCTAACGGAGCAGAAACACCCAGCGGCCAGTCCATAAGTTTATTTTTTAAATAGCAGTTTCAGAGTGCTGCACAAAAAAATATAAGAAAAAAGACAAAAACAAAATGAAAAAATAATATCAGTTCAAAACATAACAGTCACAAAACAATCTTGACAATAAATATAGGGTAAGGATAATCACCTTTATTTGGCCAAACATGTTAACACACACAAGGAATTTGTTTCCGGTACAGAACCGAGGCAGCCATCTGCGGCGCCAACTCACACCGATGGCTCTAACCATCGGGGGCAACAGGGGGGTTCAGTGTCTTGCCTAAGGACACTTCAACATGTGGACTGCAGGCACCGAGATTTGAACCTCCAACCCTCCGGTTGGGAGATGACTGCTCTACCCACTGAACCCAGATCTAATCCAGGAGCCTCAAACTGCACCAACATCAAATGCCTGAGAGAATAAATATGACAGCGTGTGTAACTGTATGTAGTGGGCTTTGCTCAGCAATTCTGGGGCTGAGCACATCCTGTATAGATACTGGCTGAATACTGAAGCCACATACAAGAACTGTGGACCTTTTGTCCAGAGTACTGCAGCATCTCTTTTCAGAAACGCATCCTCTGATACTTTGGCAAATCCAAAGATCTCATAGTCAGCCATGAAAACTACTGAGACACTGATTTGTGGATTAGTCAGAATAACGAGGACATTTCATAAAATCTCAGTTTTGACTGCTGTAAGCACCACAAAATAAAGTCTTCTTATTCCTCCAACGTGCTGGGATGCAGGTAGAAATCTCCAAATCTATAATAAAAACTGCTCAAAAGAGTTAAAGGAACACTTGATCATCACAGTATAACACCAAGCCAGTTAAACTTCAGAGATATCAATGTCTCTATTTTAACACAAGTGACTGTGAATCAGTTTCACCTACTTTGGTGCAAATGAAAGTGACAACACGTGAAAAAAGGAAATGGTTTTCCATGTGGTCACAACAGACAAATGCTTTCTCCTTATCCTTCCTGATTGATTCTTCTCACTTTATGTCTTGCTGGTAGTGTCCTTGTCACTACCGATAGTATGAGGCAGTACCTGCAGCCCAGTCAGGTTGCACCGGTAGTCCAGATACTCCTCGATGTCACATCCATACGTGCAGTTGCAAGAAGGTTTGCTGTCTCCCAGCACAGTCTCAAGAGCATGGAGCAGATAAAAGGAGACCAGATGTTGCACCAGGAGAGCTGGACAGGGCCGTAGAAGGGCAGCAACCCAGCAGCAGGACCAGTAGCTGCTTCTTTGTGCAAGGAGGAACAGGAGGAGCACTGTGAGAGCCCCACAGAATGACCTCCAGCAGCTACTGGTGTGCATGTTTTTGACCAAACTGTCAGAAACAGACTCCATGAGGGTGGCATGAGGGGCCAACGTCCTCTAGTACGACCTGTGCTCACAGCCCAGCTCCATACAGCTCGACTGGCATTCACCAGAGAATGCCAGAATTGGCAGGTCCACCACTGGCGCATTATTCCCTTGACAAATGAGAGCAGGTTCACACTGAACACATGTGACAGGCTTGAAAGAGTCTGGAGATGCTGTGGTGAACGTTATGCACCTGGAACATCAGAACATGACCGGTTTGGTGGTGGGTCAGTGAGGGTCTGGGAAGGCATACACTGACTGCTGAGAGGTACCAGGATGAAATCCTCGGAGTTACTGTCAGACCTTACGCTGGTGCAGTGGGCCCTGGGTTCCTCCTGGTGCAGGACGATGCCTGGCCTGATGTGGCCAGAGTGTGTTGAGGATGATGAAGGCATTGATGCCATTAACTGGCCCTCTCCATACAGCTCGACTGGCATTCACCAGAGAATGCCAGAATTGGCAGGTCCACCACTGGCGCATTATTCCCTTGACAAATGAGAGCAGGTTCACACTGAACACATGTGACAGGCGTGAAAGAATCTGGAGATGCTGTGGTGAATGTTATGCTGCCTGTAACATCATGGAGCATAACCGGTTTGGTGGAGGGCCACACAGACCTCCATGTCATAGCCAATGGTACACTGACTGCTGAGAGGTACCAGGATGAAATCCTCGGAGTTACTGTCAGACCTTACGCTGGTGCAGTGGGCCCTGGGTTCCTCCTGGTGCAGGACGATGCCTGGCCTGATGTGGCCAGAGTGTGTTGAGGATGATGAAGGCATTGATGCCATTAACTGGCCCTCATGGTCCCTTGAATCCAACTGAGCATCTATGGGACATTAATTATTCCCTTGACAAATGAGAGCAGGTTCACACTGAACACATGTGACAGGCGTGAAAGAATCTGGAGATGCTGTGGTGAATGTTATGCTGCCTGTAACATCATGGAGCATAACCGGTTTGGTGGAGGGCCACACAGACCTCCATGTCATAGCCAATGGTACACTGACTGCTGAGAGGTACCAGGATGAAATCCTCGGAGTTACTGTCAGACCTTACGCTGGTGCAGTGGGCCCTGGGTTCCTCCTGGTGCAGGACGATGCCTGGCCTGATGTGGCCAGAGTGTGTTGAGGATGATGAAGGCATTGATGCCATTAACTGGCCCTCATGGTCCCTTGAATCCAACTGAGCATCTATGGGACATTATGTATCAGTGCATCTGACACCTCCAAGTGTCACCACAGACTGTCCAGCTCATTATTGCCCTGATCCAGGTCTGGGAGGAGATCCCCCAGAACACCATCCGCCGACTCATCGGGACTATGTCTAGACGTTGTCCGGAGTGCACACAGGCACGCAGGATCGTACACATTTCTGAGTCACATTATAAGTTGCGGTGATGAAATTCACACAACTTGGATGAACCTGTGCTTTCAGTTTTTCACTTTGATTTTCAGGGTGATTTTGAATACATGTAAATTTGTTGGTGGTGCTCATGCTGCTCACTCTACCTGAGTAGTGCCCTCTCCTGGAGCAGATGCCAGCTCTAGCTAATTGTTATGGATCTTAAAGTAATCTCATATAACTGTCATGGCCTACGTTTAGGTCATAAGGTGGAGGATAAAGTTCGTCGCACTGTGTTTGAAGAGCTGCTGGAACAATGTGACGTTCTATATTTACAAGAGACTTTTCTTGCCAAGCAGGATTTATGTGGACTCAACTCCTTAGTCCATAATTTCCTCGGCGCTGGAGAGTCTACTACTGACTTTGGGCTCGGTATTAAGCGTGGACGAATTCCTGGTGGCGTGGCTATCTTGTGGTCTAAGAGGTTGGACCCAGTGGTTAGTGTGGTTAGGCTTGATGAGGACTGGTGTATTGCAATATGCCTGACTCTGGATAACAAGGAGCTTGTGTTTTTAAACATCTATGCTCCTTATGAATGTAATCAGAACGAAGAGGAGTACTTGAACAAGCTTTCTTTTATTAGTTCTTTTATACATAGCGACATTTATACAAGCGTATATATTGTGGGTGATATGAACACAAATATATCAGATAAGAATTCTGTTTTTGCAAAGCATATGTTGCACTTTTGTGCTGATAATAATTTGATTTTGTCTAGTAGTGAGTTCCTGCCTAGTCAGAGCTATACATATATTAGTGAGGCCTGGCATACAACATCGTGGCTCGACCACTGTATTTCTACTGCTGATGCACATGCTGCTTTGGCAGATATAGACATTCTATATAATGTGTTCTTTTCTGATCATATTCCTTTGATAGGTGACCGTGAGACTTGATTTTATAACTATTTTAACTCCGTCTAACCATAAACATAAAGGTTTAGACTGGTCCACTTTTTATCCTGAGGTTTGGACTGGTCCTCTCTTTCTCCTGAGGATTTTGCCAGCTTTCGTAATCTCACTGATAAGCTGTTACGTGATATTACGTTACCTAGAGAGGCAGTTATGTGTAGAGATCCTAACTGCACAGATGTTAATCACAAGTCAAATATTTCTTTTATGTATTCTAATATTATCCGGGCGCTGTTGGAAGCGAGTATGCCTTATCACAAAGGTAAAGTGAAGTGCAAAATTATGCCTGGTTGGAGCACCTATGTGGCTGAATTTAAGGCTAAAGCCTGGGAGGCTACAACTTCCTGGGCTCTTGCAGATATGGGCCTATATATAAGTTTTAAAAAGTTTGCAACTGCAAAATATAAATATGCCATACAGTTCATTTTGAAAAATGAACATAAGATGAGGTCAGACTTTGTGGTGAAAAAACTCTTAAGGAACAATATGAAATCGTTTTGGAAGGACATCAAATACATTAATAATAGTAGATCCTCCTTACCCCATACTATTGATGGAATTTCTGATCCTGATAAGATAGCTGAGTTTTGGTGGCGTTATTACTGCGAATTATTTAATTTTATTCCGAGTGAAACTTTTTCAGTGAGTGGGGTTGAGTTTGTTGAATCTTTTAAAACCAATGAAGTTTCCCAAGCAATATGTAATTTGTCTGAAAATAAGGCTACTGGGCTGGACTGCATTTCTGTTGAACATCTTAAGTACGCTAGTCTCAGGTTGTCCCCTCTTCTAGCTATATGCTTTACTGCCTCTGTTATGCACAGGTTTCTGCCTGACTCTTTGATCTCAGTACTTTTAGTTCCTATGGTGAAGGATAAAGCAGGGAAGGTGGGCAGCTCGGATAATTATAGACCTATCGCACTTGCTAATATTCTTTCAAAAGTTGCTGAAGAACTTCTTTTGAGTAGGTTTCACAATCTTATTAGCTCCACTGCAAACCAATTTGGGTTTAAAACTAACCATGGCACTGATATATGTGTATATTTGCACTAAAG